GCAAACCAGAGCAGCGCACGGAAACGCCGTTTACCTTCCCGCCAGAGTGGTACCTATTTATCTACTTGCACTTTGACGTGCTTTCGAACTGCTAGGTGGGCAGGAGCAGGGACCAAGCAACGGGAGCTCACCCCATCGTGGGGATTCGAACCGCCGACCATCTGATCGGCAAGCCCAAGAGGCTCAGTGGTTTAGACCACAGCGCCACCCGCGTCCCCCCATAATAATGCAGTACCTTATAAAGGTACTGCATTATAATTATTATTATTATTAAATTTGTGTACCGCCCTTCATCCATAGATCTCAGGCCAGTTCACAACATAAAAATACAATACAAAAAAACACAAGATACATAATAAAAACAAGAACAAAAAAAACCCCACAAACCAATAACACCCCCTCCCACAAACACTTTTAAAAGGGGTAAAAGGTAAAGGTAAAGGTACCCCTGCCCGTACGGGCCAGTCTTGACAGACTCTGGGATTGTGTGCCCATCTCAGTCTAGAGGCCGGGGGCCAGCGCTGTCCACAGACACTTCCGGATCACGTGGCCAGCGTGACAAAGCTGCATCTGGCGAGCCAGCACAGCACGCGGAAACGCCGTTTACCTTCCTGCCAGTAAGCGGTCCCTATTTATCTACTTGCACCTGGTGGTGCTTTCGAACTGCTAGGTTGGCAGGCGCTGGGACCGAATAACGGGAGCGCACCCCGCCGCGGGGATTCGAACCGCCGACCTTTCGATCGACAAGCCCTAGGCACTGAGGCTTTTACCCACAGCGCCACCCGCGTCCCTTTAAAAGGGGTATAAGGTGCTAATCAGCCAAAGGCCTTGTTGAAGAGGAATGTTTTTCCCTGGTGCCTAAAGGTGTATGCTGTAGGTGCCAGCAAAGCGTTCCACAAACAGGGAGCCACTGCAGATAAGGCCCAGTCTTGTGTTGCCACCTTTTGGCCCCCTCGTGGCACAGAAAGAAGGGCCTCTGATATTTAATTCAGGGTCCGGGTAGGTTCACATGGGGAGAGATCCTTCACGTCTTTGCTTTAGGAAAGAGGTACAAGGAGATCCCCTCAGCTCAGTTCTAGGAACCGGAACAATAATTATTGATTATTGTGGTTATAGGTTAAAAAAATGGCCACTGTCCTGAAAATGCAGTGGGGCCTATTGTATCTTTGCAAATCAGCCCACAAGTGAGGTGGGAGGGAACTTTGATCTTTCAAATTTCAGTGGCGCTCTGTGCAAGGTCAAAATCCAGCAGCTGCCTGCCTCACCTTCCGCTCTGCTCAATTCACTACATCATAGTTGCGACACCCTGCAGTGTCCCCCTTGGCCTGATGCCCAGTGTGGCAGAACTGGCTGCGCTGCCCTAGATCTGCCTCTGCCACATTCACTTGCTCACACTGACCTCCTTTAGGTACCCATGTCCTTGTTTTATATCTATCTATCTATCTATCTATATATCTATCTATCTATCTATATCTGTCTATCATCTATCTATCATCTATCATCTATCTATCTGTCATCTATCTAGCTATCTATTCAGTACTTTTTTTCTTTAAAAATGTTTAAGGGTACTCTCATTTTCTTACTCATATTGAAATACTGCCCCTCAATGAGGCCAAACATAGATTCACAAAATGTTTAGGGGTATGCATACCCCTGTGTCCCCCCCCCAAAAAAGTGCTCTCTCTCGCTCTATCTATCTATCTATCATCTATCATCTATCATCTATCATCTATCATCTATCATCTCTATCTCTATCTCTATCTCTCTCTCTCTGTATTTCTTTCAGTAGAAGCGGAAAGTACTGTAACAGGAAAAAAGATAACCTATGTGATATATTAATTCAGCTTTTAAATCCATTGTATTTTCAGACATAGTCAGGTTTATGAAGGTGAATGAATAGGGCCTGCCAAAAGGGCCCGAGAGAATAAACTCACCACTGCCCTTACCTGCTTTTCTTGCCATTCCCATCCATCCCTCACCGTTCATTTGTATAAAACTGGAGAGAAACACTCTGGAGAATTCACTGAACTGTTATTCTGTGACCTGAAAAGTTCCCTCCAGGGGCTGGGCCTGGAATGAGCTTCTGCTTGCTAACTCTCCTAGGATTCCGGTCTGCCAGGCTTACCAGTTCCTGGTAAATAGACACTCCATGGACCAGTCCGTTGCTTCATTTCACAAACCCTGCTTTTGCAAGAGGCCCAAACAAATCAAGACGCTCTGGTTACCTTTTCAGCATAGATGCTTAGCAGGGGCGTCCAAGTAATGATTCCTCTCCCTTGGAGAAAAAGTTACACCTGCAGGGAAGACTGTTTGTTTCTCAGCGCACCTTGGAGAAACAGGCAAGTTGTTTCATTTCCTTGTTGGAGAAAGGCTGAACTTTGTCTCTCTCTAGCAATGCAAATGCAAGCAATCATCTCATTTATAGAGGTTGCTTAGGGAAAAGATATTTATACAGCCAAGGTGTGTCACCATCACGACGGCATAGCAGTGTGAATTTGGAGAGTAACGGGGAAACTCTGCATTTGTGTAATCAAGGAATAAAGTCCCAAAGGGGAGGCGTGAGGGAGGAACATTGCTTGAACTCAGTCAGGAGGATAGATCACCCAGATGTGGCCTGCGTATTGTCCTACCCAGTGCTTTTTTCTGGGGGGACGCGAGGGGCATACGCATACCCCTAAACATTTTGTGAATCTACATTTGGCCTCATTGAGGGACAGTATTTCCAATATGCGTAGGAAAATGAGAGTACCCCTAAACAATTTTTTGGGGGGAAAGCACTGGCCGTACCCATGCACGTTCTTTCTGTATTGTCGCCCCATAATTTTTCACTGCTTAGGACAGTGGTTCCCAGAGTGGGCACAGGCTGTGGGATTAACCAGAGGTTGCTAGGAGGCAAGAGAACAGCAGGGGCACTGGGAGTATAACTATCAGAATTTGAAAAGCTGGTATCACTTGATGAAGTTCATCAATTTTACTGAATTAATTGAACTACGGTAAATAGTTTTAACTGGATTTGGAATAAATGTGCAATTGATTGTTGATGTTTTGAATTTTATTGCGTTGTTATCTTCCTTAGTCAGTCATGCAAACCACTATTCTGAATACCATCATACCTCTGCTTCCGAACACCTTGGAAGTCAAACGTTCTTTTGGAAGCCGAACGTCTAGTGGGGCTTCCATGGCTTCTGATTGGCTGCAGGAGCTTCCTGAGGCCAGCCAGAAGCCGCTCTTTGGTTTCCGAACGTTTCAGAAGTCAAATGGACTTCTGGAACGGACTCCATTCGACTTCTGAGGATTCGACTGTACAGTGGAACCTCGGTTGTCGAACAGAATCCATTCTGGAAGACTGTTTGACTTCCGAAACGTTTGATAACCAAGGATCAATTGCTGGTCGCCATTTATTCTTTTTAATGGACTTCCGTTCGACTTCCAAGGCACGTTCAAAAACAGAAGCATTCGCTTCCGGGTTGTCAGCATTCGGGTTCTGAAGTGTTCGGCTTCCAAAGTATTCAACACCGAGGTTCCACTGTAATGCTTTTTATAGAGTGGGACTGTAGGAAGCACTGGGGATGAGTCTATGGAACCAAGTGGGCAGCAGCCCCAGGAAATTTGGGAACCACTGGCTTAGAAGTCCAGAGTATGGTACAGGCAATCCTCGTTTTGCGTAAGGGTTTAGTTCCGGACCTCAGTGCAGGTCAGCAGACTGCATGTAAGCCTTTTTCACTCCTTTTTGTGACGTCTATATGACATTTTAGGGCTATTTCTGGGTTTGGTGCCCTTCATGTGAGTAACGTGAGGAACAAAATCAGATGTGCTTATGATGATAAAGCTCATGAGAGTTTAGCATATTATGCTTGTCACAAATACACACACACAACAACAAATGAAAAGAAAAGGCATATGTTTTAACTTTATTCTCTTCTTTGAGGTTCTTTGAAATGTGATGAGATGCTACTTGAAATTTGTTTTACATGCAGTATTTCTTTTGAACAACATAACACCACAATGTGCAACTTACCTAGCATAAATGTGTTGACATGTGTGTCATTTAAACCTCTTTTTAGGACTGCCATAATTACTTCCCTGACTTTACCTCACTAGATTGCCAAAAACACAAGTTGGCCCTCGTGCGTCTGCTTTATTAGGGTTGCCAACTTACTAAAACTATGTTTAAAAAATACAACATACATTTTAAACGTGACATTCTCGCTTTTGGCTTGAGAAACTTTATTTGAAAAGCATCACTCACGATTACAATTAGATGGTATAGCAATAACTGCAGAAATCAGTTTCTTGCACAACAGCAATTATTATTTGCTGAAGTAATAGTTTTGTAATGTTTAGCCACATTACAAAACTATTACTTTAGCACATAGCTCACACCAACTTCATACAAAGAGAACAATGATTGTACATAGTATGATTTGCCGATGCAGTGGAAAAAGAAAATCATAGAATCATAGAGTTGGAAGAGACCACAAGGGCCATCGAGTCCAACCCCCTGCCAAGCAGGAAACACCATCAGAGCACTCCTGACATATGGTTGTCAAGCCTCTGCTTAAATACATAGCCGACTTAAAAATAAAAATCTATTCATAAAGGATAACCCAGGTTTCCTCAACCTCTGCCCTTCAGATGTTTTGAGACTATGATTCCCATCATCCCTGACCACTGGTCCTGCTAGCTAGGGATCATGGGAGTTGTAGGCCAAAAACATCTGGAGGGCCGAGGTTGAGGAAGCCTGGGATAACCAGAGAGTGAGTTCAGCATTCTTTCTGCTACTAACACAAATTGAGTAATCATGAATCGATACATTAGAGAGAAGTGATTATTTTTGGAGGACATCAAATTACATACAGTGGTACTTCAGGTTACATACGCTTCAGGTTACAGACTCAGCTAACCCAGAAATAGTGCTTCAGGTTAAGGACTTTGCTTCAGGATGAGAACAGAAATCGTGCTCCAGAGGCGCGGCGGCAGCAGGAAGTCCCATTAGCTAAAGTTGTGCTTCAGGTTAAGAACAGTTTCAGGTTAAGAACGGACCTCCGGAACGAATTAAATACTTAACCCGAGGTACCACCGTACTAGGTATATTATATTCCATTTCTGCTTCAGCAGCTGCCACTCATCCTCATCAGGGAAGTGATTCTTTCTAAACAGAGCAGGACTGGTGAGGAAGTAAAACTCCTTATAGCTGCAAAAGGAGAAGGTGGAATAGTGCTGTATTTCAAAACATTTCCTAAATCAGCATCAGGGTCAAAAAGGCAAAGCTATCTAAGGATGAAGCTGGAATAATTCTAGGGCCAGTCAAGAAAAATCATAGTTTATCATACTGAGAATGAGCCATAGCAAGCGTCAGCTTCACACACGCCCACCATTGTTCATCAATCAGTCATTTATTGTGTTTGACTAAAAGCCCTTACATGGGATGCGGGTGGCGCTGTGGGTTAAACCACAGAGCCTAGGACTTGCCAATCAGAAGGTTGGCAGTTCGAATCTCTACGATGGGGTGAGCTCCCATTGCTCGGTCCCTGCTCCTGCCAACCTAGCAGTTCGAAAGCACACCAGTGCAAGTAGATAAATAGGTACCGCTGCGGCAGGAAGGTAAACAGCATTTCTGTGCACTCTGGTTTCCCAATGTGCCAGAAGTGGTTTAGTCCTGCTGGCCACATGACCTGGAAAGCTGACAAATGCTGGCTCCCTCGGCCTGAAAGCGAGATGAGCGCTACAACCCCGTAGTTGCCTTTGACTGGACTTAACCATCCAGGGTCCTTTACCTTTTTTTTTTAACACATCTGTAGCCTAGGATAAGCATTATACAGTGGTACCTCTGGATGTGAACAGGATCTGTTCCGGAGCCCTGTTCGCATCCAGAAGCGAATGCAACCCGCTTCCATGTATGTGCGTGACATCATTTTGAGCGTCTGCGCAGCGGTGAAACCCGGAAGAAACGTGCTCCGTTACTTCCGGGTCACCGCGGAGCGCAACCCGAAAATATTCATCCCGAAGCTCCTTCAACCCGAGGTATGACTGTACTCCAGAACCATTCAAAAAGATAAATAGATCGTTAGTGTTTACTTTATTTTGCTGCCCCCAAGACACTCCGATGCCAATGGCTTAATTCTTATTATCATCAGCCCCCTGGCCATCAAATAAAACATTCTAAAACATGATCGATGAAAAAACCAACCTGTGAAGGCAAGGGAAGCAAACTATACTTGTGTCCCACACTCTTGGCTGGGCCTTCTGTTGCCTAACAACATACCTGAAGGTGAACTTGCTATAGGAGTCATCCACATAACCGCTCGCCCATGTGCAGTCTAGAAGATGCCACTTTCCATCAAGATAAACAGCATTCCAGGCATGGCGGCTCTTCCCTTTAAAGTCGTCATTTCTGCTGCGGCCTACCAAATATTTGCATAGTATCCCTGCAACTCTGAGGGATAAAGAAAGACACTCAGGAACCCCATGGTTGTCATAGTTTGAAAGCGTAATGCCGGTGGTCAACAAAAGAGGTTTGAAGACTCTCTCAAGGCAAATCTAAAAAAAGTACAGTGGTGCCCCGCAAGACGAACGCCTCGCAAGACGGAAAACCCGCTAGACGAAAGGGTTTTCCGTTTTGGAGGCGCTTCGCAAAACGAATTTCCCTATGGGCTTCCTTTGCAAGACGAAAGCCCATAGGGAAATCTCCGGGACAGCGGGGAAGCGCAGCGCCTCTTCCCCACTGTCCTCGGACCTCCTCCTAAGCCTGGCGGCGGGGCGGGAACACCTCCTCCCGCCGCCCAGCTTCGGAAGGATGCTCCGAAGCCGGGTGGCGGGGCGGAGAGACCTTCTCCCCGCGCCAGCCTTCGGATGGCTGTCCTGAAGACTTGGGGTGGGAGAAGGGTTTTCCTTCCCACCGCCAACATTCAGAATGCTGTTCTGAATGTTGGCGGTGGAGAGGAAAAACCCTCCTCCCACGCAAGCCCCGGGAACAGAGGAAAAGCGCTGCGCGCCTTCCCCTCTGTTCCCGTACCTGTCCTGAAGGCTTGCGGTGGGGAGAAAAGCCCTTCTCCCCACCGCCAGCCTGGCAAACGGTTTCCCTAGGAATGCATTAATTGATTTTCAATGCATTCCTATGGGAAACCGTGCTTCGCAAGACGAAAAACTCGCAAGAAGAAAAAACTTGCGGAACGAATTAATTTCGTCTTGCGAGGCACCACTGTAGTATAAACACCAACAACCGGGAAACACTGGCCTGCGAGAGCTCGAGTTGGAGGACAGCCTTTACCAAAGGTGTCATGGACTTTGAAGATGCTCAAACTCAGGACAAAAGGGAGAAATGTGCTAAGAGGAAGGCACGCTTGGCAAATCCACACCGTGATCAACTCCCGCCCGGAAACAAATGTTCCCACTGTGGAAGGACGTGTGGATCCAGAACTGGCCTCCACAGTCACTTTTGGTCTCATTGTTAAAACCATGTTTATGGAAGTCAATCTTACTCAGCTATGAGCGATAGAAGAAGAAGAAGAAGAAGAAGAAGAAGAAGAAGAAGAAGAAGAAGAAGAAGAAGAAGAAGAAGAAGTCGTCAAGGGATTGTGGTTGCTTTCACTACTTTTTTGACTGAAATTATTAGTATTAGCATTAGTATTTATTAGTATTATTAGCATTAGTATTATTATCCCACTAACTCATGTGTGGAAGAGACCCATTGAAATCAAGTTTGTCATTCTCCATTGAATTCAATGAATCTACTCCAACTTGATACAACTGTACATATGCATTTTTACTTCAGCATTCATAATATAAAATAGCGGGAGCAGGGACCTGTGGTTCTCTAGATCAGGCTTCCTCAATCTTGACCCTCCAGAAGTTTTTGGCCTACAACTCCCATGATCCCTAGTTAGCAGGACCAGTGGTTAGGGATGATGGGAACTGTAGTCTCAAAACATCTGGAGGGCTGAGTTTGAGGAAGCCTACTCTAGATCTCCCATCACCCTTGCCAAGTAACAACTGCTTCCCATGATGGCTGGGGCAATAGGATTTACCTGCACATTTCTTCAAAGAGTTGAGCATATCCACTACAAATAGCCTTTCCTGACTGAAGGACATCAGCTGGCTTATAAAACGCCTTATCTCTGTTACGGTAGCCTTCCACATCATATTCTGGAGAAATAAAGACACTTGTGAAATGTCGCCCTTGAGTCTGCAATGCTCAGTGAATGAGGGGCTGCAACAACCTCACACAAAAGGCTACAGTGGTACCTCAGGTTACATACGCTTCAGGTTACATACGCTTCCTATGGGACGAAAAATACGGTAAACAAGCTACAGTGGTACCTCAGGATAAGAACTTAATTCATTCTGGAGGTCTGTTCTTAACCTGAAACTGTTCTTAAGCTCCCGCTGCTGCCGCCGCGCGACCAGCGGCAGACGATTTCTGTTCTCATCCTGAAGCAAAGTTCTTAACCCGAGGTACTATTTCTGGGTTAGCGGAGTCTGTAACCTGAAGCGTCTGTAACATGAAGCGTCTGTAACATGAGGTACCACTGTATAGCTTAGCACCCCACTCTCTTGGGGGGCCCAAAAAAAATTAAAGGAAAAACACAATTGGATGTGTATTTCCAAATTATAAGATAAAAAAACAAATAAAATAAGACCTACATACAGCCACAGTGTTTTGTGTTGTGTAGCCCCCTATGATGTAAGTCATGGACCCCGCCTGCTAGCCTGCTCCCTAAAATATCACCGGTTTGTTCATTTCTATATATAGGGTGCCTACATTCTGCTGTTTATAATCATTAGTAGTTTGTATAATATATTTACACCTATTATTATTTCCAGTTATAGCAAGTTTCTGGAGACTAGATTATGAGTCTTTGTAAATTGTGTTTCTAAAGGAACTTTCGTTATTGCCAAATGCCAATGTGTTTGCATTATTAAGTTTGTTATGAATAAAAAATCATTTTAAGTTAGAGCTGAATAATTATTTCACTATTAATATACTTCTTCTTAATTGCATTTCACTATTAATATACTTCTTAACTGTATTTCAGTTCAACAATTACTTTGATAAAATACATATTTTGTTAAGTGCAAATGGCTTTAGATACCTATTAGGTCCATAAATTGCCATATAGCATATATTCAACACAAAAAGCAGCGACAATTTGTTGTTGACAAAGGACAGCTGGACATTATAAAGTGCCCCATTACCTCCAGTATCTTAGGGCCTCATCAAACCTAAATCCGGCCCCAACTGTGATACAGGCTGATCTTTAAATTCTGGGAGCTGTTTGGAGACAAGGGGACCCCAACATTCAAAAGGTGGCACTCCCACCTACCAATATGATGGCAAATCCACATCCAAATGGCTCGCACTTTCTCCAGGTCACTGTGGGCTTTCTCATGCAAGACACTCACCAGGTTTTCCACACTATCCTTGAAATCCACCTGTTTCACAAAAGGAAAATAGATTCAGGAGCTGTTGACATGAATAAGGAGTACCCAGTTCCTTTTTTCTGTCTAAGCCTGACGCTTGATTAAAGAAAATGGGGGGTGCTTTTTTACAGGCACTTACAAGAGGGTCAGTCTTGCTGAACTCAGTGGGGCTACTCAGTGAGTAAAACCGCACTGCTGGTCAAACAAATGTATGTGTTTTAGCTGATTGATCAATTAATGTCTTAAATTTGACCCAAACTTGCCCCTGGGTAATAAGTATTCTGAAAGATGCTTAAGCTTTCCTTTTTCTAGGGTACACAGGTGTACACCTGAAAACAGGTGCTCTATTGTGTTAGAACATGTGGAAGACAGGAGCATGTTCTTTTGTGACTCACAATATTCCCCATTGCCTCCTATCAGGAGAGCACACTTGAAGGTATAGTGGAACCTTGGTTCTCGAATGGCTCAGTTGACGAACAAATCGGAACTCGAACGCCGCAAACCCAGAAGTTAAATGCTTTGGTTTGCAAACTTTCTTCGGAAGCCGAATGTCCTATGTGGCAGTTGACTATTATTTCCAGGGCGCCTGCGCCAATTGGAAGCCACGCCTTGGTTTTTGAACGTTTTGGAAGTCGAATGGACTTCTGGAACGGATTACGTTCAAGAACCAACGTACCACTGTACTATCAAATTCCAAATCCACATAAAAAAAACACCTCAGCATTCTTCCTGACCATTAGGTCCAGTCATGACGGACTCTGGGGTTGCGGCGCTCATCTCGCTTTATTGGCTGAGGGAGCCGGCGTACAGCTTCCGGGTCATGTGGCCAGCATGACTAAGCCGCTTCTGACGAATCAGAGCAGCGCACGGAAATGCCATTTACCTTCCCGCCGGAGTGGTACCTATTTATCTACTTGCACTTTGATGTGCTTTTGAACTGCTAGGTTGGCAGGAACAGGGACCGAGCAACGGGAGCTCACCCCGTCGCGGGGATTTGAACCGCCGACCTTCTGATTGGCAAGTCCTAGGCTCTGTGCTTTAGCCCACAACGCCACCCGCGTCCCTTTACCACCCACGTCCCTTTAAGCAGATTCCTTAGGTAAAGGTAAAGGGACCCCTGACCATTAGGTCCTGTCATGAACGACTCTGGGGTTGCGGCGCTCATCTCGCTTAATTGGCCAAGGGAGCTGGCGTACAGCTTCCGGGTCATGTGGCCAGCATGACTAAGCCGCTTCTGGCGAACCAGAGCAGTGCACGGAATCGCTGTTTACCTTCCCGCCGGAGCAGTACCTATTTATCTACTTGCACTTGACATGCTTTCGAACTGCTAGGTTGGCAGGAGCAGGGACCAAGCAACGGGAGCTCACCCTGTCGCGGGGATTCGAACCGGCGACCTTCTGATTGGCAAGTCCTAGGCTCTGTGGTTTAACCCACAGCGCCACCTGCGTCCCTAAGCAGATTCCTTACAGGACTATAATTCCACACTGTATATATCACAATAAGAGATAGCATACCTTCAATGCATGGGCATCCAGTTCCTTAAACTGCATCAAGTCCATCACTACCGATTTCTCATCAGATTGTTTCAGAGTTGATCCCTGTTCTTCTTTCATCTTGAAAGGCTACAAAATGGTTATTCTTGGGATGAGACAATATGTACATTGAAACATATAATGCAACACCCACCATCCCTGACCCTTAGCCATGCTGGCTGAGACTGATGGGAGGGCAATACCATCTGTATGGCCACAGATTGCCCATCCCTGATATTTTATTTTTATGTCAGTGTGACTGCCATAGCTGCCCTTATAGCAGTGGTGGGGAACCTGGGGCCCTCCAGAGATTGCTGGACTCCTATCAGGCCCAGCAAACTTGGCAAAGGGATGATGGGAGTTGCAGTCCAATAACCTCTGGAGGGTGACAGGTTCCCCATCCTCATCTTAGTGAATGGTGGGAATTGTAATTTGTCAGGGGTGCTAAATGCCTCTGTTGGAAATTCCGAACCGCCTTCAAAGAACTACAGTGGTACCTCAGGTTACATACGCTTCAGGTTACATACGCTTCAGGTTACAAACTCTGCTGACCCAGAAATAGTGCTTCAAGTTAAGAACTTTGCTTCAAGATGAGAACAGAAATCGTGCTCTGGCGGCGCGGCGGCAGCAGGAGGCCCCATTAGCTAGAGTGGTGCTTCAGGTTAAGAACAGTTTCAGGTTAAGTACAGTCCTCCAGAACAAATGAAGTACTTAACCCGAGGTACCACTGTACAGTCTTACCTTGGAAGCCGAACGCCTTGGCACTCGGACATTTTGGCTCCCGAACGCCGCAAACGTGGAAGTGAGTGTTCCGGTTTGCGAACATTCTTTGGAAGCCAAACATCCAGTGTGGCTTCCGCGGCTTCCGATTGGCTGCAGAAGCTTCCTGTAGCCAATCGGAAGCCACACCTTGGTTTCCGGACGTTTTGGAAGTCGAACAGACTTCCGGAATGGATTCCAAGGTACGACTGTACTAAGCAATTCCTTTCTGACACAAATCACTAACCCACTTGAGTCTGTAAAGCAGGCAGGAGAGAAGGACTGGCCGGTTGGAATATTCAAGTGGGGGGCTGAAAGTTTGTCCTCCTAGTTAGTACTTACAGTGGTACCTTGGGTTAAGAACTTAATTCGTCCTGGAGGTCTGTTCTTAACCTGAAACTGTTCTTAACCTGAAGCACCACTTTAGCTAATGGGGGCCTCCTGCTGCTGCTGCGCCGCAGCAGCACGATTTCTGTTCTTATCCTGAAGCACTATTTCTGGGTTAGCGGAGTCTGTAACCTGAAGCGTATGTAACCTGAAGCGCCTGTAACCTGAAGTGTATGTAACCCGAGGTACCACTGTATTTGCTGTTTTAAAAGAGTGACCTTAACATGCATCAATCGGATGGCACCTCTGGCTTTGATGTTCAAGGTACCAGCAAATGTTAGAGACCAACAATAGCTTTCTCCCCCCTGTGGGAATTTCTTTCCAATGTAGGGATTTAAGGAAGAGTGTCACATGATCAGAGAGGTGGAAGTACTGACATCTATCCCACTTTTTGCATTTGGTTCCTGGTTGGAAACCACAGGAAGGGCAAGTGCTCTTGTGCTCAAATCCTGCTTACTGGTTTTCCACACACATCTGCTCAGCTACTGTGAAAACAGGATGCTTGAATAATTGGGCCATTGGCCTGATCCTGCGGGCTCTTTTTATGTTCTTACGTTAGAGGTGTGCTGCCTTTGTGCCTGGCTGTTCCACTTACCTCTCGTCTTCAAGCCATATTAAACGAGTGAGTGCCTGAGCATGTGCAGAGTGCCACCCTCCCTCAGTGGTGAAATAAATAATCACTGCTTTTACTTGGAGCCCTGATAGCCATCGCACCCAGCAGTTCTGGTATGTCATGTGCACGCAATAGAGCACGCTTGATGGTTCAAGACCGATGACACAATGCCACGTTCCATTGAAGTTGCTTCAACTTCCGTGCACGCAATTGCTGCTTTCGGTGGAGACCTTGGCATTATGATAAGAGTAACAGGAACAGCACTTACGGCTCCAAAACAAAAGTGAAAGCAGGACAAGTTTGGGTAAAACAGCAGGGCGGTGTGTCAAAGTTCGCTGGAGTCCCAATTGCACATTTCCTCCCCTGCCAGGGAGATTCCAGCAATTCATCTATGTTTTATGTGGAACTGCCCACATGAACAGTATAATTAATGGAAAGGTCCATCTCCTGTTCCTATTGCTGATTGATATAAGAGGTGTGCTCAGGTTTTTTTTTTAGGGAATCCTTCTTTTTGCATGGAATGGGAAGTTGTATTTTTTGGTATTAATTCCTATACTATTTTCTTAATAATGATAATAATAATGATAATAATAATTTATTACTTATACCCTGCCCTTCTGCCTGGGTTGCCCCAGCCACTCTGGGAGGCTTCCAACAAAATACAATAAAGCATCAAACATTAAAAACTTCCCTAAACAGGGCTGCCTTCAGATATCTTCTAAAAGTATATACCACTCATAATTCCACTTCATTTCATTTTCATATAATTGAATAGTGATATTATGTTTCCAATACAGTGGTACCTTGGTTCTCAAACTTAATCCATTCCGGGAGTCCGTTCGCCTCCCAAAACCATTCAAAAACCAAGGCGCAGCGTCCGATTGGCTGCAGGAGCTTCCTGCACTCAAGCAGAAGCCACGTCAGACATTCGCCTTCCGAAAAACGTTTGCAAACTGGAACACTCACTTCCTGCTTTGCGGCGTTCGGGAGCTGATTTGTTTGGGAGCCAAGCCATTCGACTACCAAGGTACAACTGCAAGTCTAGTTGAATTTGGTGCGGCTTACTCTCAGGCAAGTGGGTTTAGAATTGCAGCCTAAAGCAGCTTTGGAGGCTGGCTGTGTCCACACTATGAACTTAGGACTTGCCTGCACAACAGCAGAATTTGCAGTCTAGAGTAGATTTGCATCACCCTGTCTCCCCATGAATATATGGGCCTTCAGATGAGATATTTCCCACCCCATTGTTCTCCTGGACCTTTTGCCCTTTAAATTCAGGGTTTTTCAATACTCAGAAAGTCCAAAATGGGCATAATCGAGAAACCCCTTTGCACATAGTACAAGAAATATGTATTAGGGCTGAGCCCCAGAATAAATTTCCCCCATCATATCTGGGAGACAGATAAAACGATAACAAAAGGTTATTATTTATTTTTCTTACAGAGGAACAGCACAATTCTATGTGTCTTTGCTTTAGGAAAGACCTCTAGGAATTTCTGGTGACAAATCAGAACTTAGCCACCATCCTGAAAATACTGAAGGGCCTACCCTAGCTTTGCAAATAAGCCCACAAGTTACTAGCCCTCAACATTTCACTTGTTCACCTTGACCTCATTAAGTAGAGTAGTGTACTGTCATTTTGTGACAGAGACGTTTCCTCGAAGGCAACTGTCCTAGAATGCCAGTCTGCAAAATTTGCCAGTCACCATTAAGTAGATATCTCATTCGCAAAGTCAGTTGTTTCATTTCACAAATGCTGTTTTTGTAAGAGACCCAAACAAATCAGGATGCTCTGCTTACCTTTTGGCATCAAGACTCAGTGAGGACGTCCAGGAGATGATTGTTCAGCTTTGAAAATTGGGTATTGCTGCAGGAGTCTCTGTTTCCGTCTGTTTCTTTCGAGGTAAATGATGTCTTAAGCTATTACATTATATCTAGAGGGTGGAGGAAATGCTTGTGCTTTCGGTTTAGAGAATGAGGGGGAATTCCGGGTTTCTGGGAATTCAAGCAAAGAATGAAAAGAGAGGTTTGTGGGTTGAGTACCTAATCACCGTCCAGACAGATCAACCATATGTTTACAAGCCCCCCTAGCCCTGGTACCCCATCTCCCTGAATTGCTGCACCAGAACTTTTCATTGCTTAGAAATGTTGTTGTTGTTTAGTCGTTTAGTCATGTCCAACTCTTCGTGACCCCATGGACCAGAGCACGCCAGGCACTCCTGTCTTCCACTGCCTCCCGCAGCTTGGTCAAACTCATGCTGGTAGCTTCAAGAACACTGTCCAACCATCTCGTCCTCTGTCGTCCCCTTCTCCTTGTGCCCTCCATCTTTCTCAGCATCAGGGTCTTTTCCAGGGAGTCTTCTCTTCTCATGAGGTGGCCAAAGTATTGGAGCCTCAGCTTCAGGATCTGTCCTTCCAGTGAGCACTCAGGGCTGAATTCCTTCAGAATGGAGAGGTTTGATCTTCTTGCAGTCCATGGACTCTCAAGAGTCTCCTCCAGCACCGTAATTCAAAAGCATCAATTCTTCGGTTTAGAAATGTAGGACACAGTATTGGATTGTCGGAGGGGTTGGACTGCTATTGGATTGGTTAGTCTAGGCTTAGCAGAGTGAGCAGTGCAGGCAGCCCCTAGTATACAAGCAGTGCTGTATTTACATATAAGCTAAACAAGCTATAGTTTAGGGCCCCACTCTATTGGGCCCCCCCCCAAAAAAATTGAAGGGAAAAAAACCTGGAAGTACATTTCCAAAATATAAGATAAAAAACCAATAAAATAAAACCTACATCCAGCAACAGTGTTTTGTGTTGTGTAGGGACGCGGGTGGCGCTGTAGTCTAAACCACTGAGCCTAGGGCTTGCCGATCAGAAGGTCGGCAGTTCGAATCCCCACGACGGGGTGAGCTCCCGTTGCTCAGTCCCTGCTCCTGCCCACCTAGCAGTTCAAAAGCATGTCAAAGTGCAAGTAGATAAATAGGTACCGCTCTGGTGGGAAGGTAAACAGCGTTTCTGTGCACTGCTCTGGTTCGCCAGAAGCGGCTTAGTCATGCTGGCCACATGACCCGGAAGCTGTAACCTAGCTCCCTTGGCCAGTAAAGTGAGATGAGCGCCACAACCCCAGAGTCGTCCGCGACTGGACCTAACAGTCAGGGGTACCTTTACCTTTACCTTTTATGGACCTATTAGTCAGGGGTCAGCAACCTTTTCCAGCAGGAGGCCGGTCTACTGTCCCTCAGACCTTGTGGGGGGCCGGACTATATTTTTGGGGGGGAATGAACGAATTCCTATGCCCCACAAATAACCCAGAGATGCATTTTAAATAAAAGCACACATTCTACTCTTGTAAAAACACCAGGCAGGTACCACAAATAACCCAGAGATCCATTTTAAATAAAAGCACACATTCTACTCATGTAAAAACACGCTGATTCCCGGACCATCCATGGGCCGGATTTAGAAGGCGATTGGGCTGGATCTGGCCCCCGGGCCTTAGTTTGCCTACCCATGTATTAGGTCCATAAATTACCATATAGCATATATTCAACACAAAAAACAGCAACAGTTTGTTGACAAAGGACAGCTGGACATATAAAGGGCCCCATTACCTTCAGTAGCTTAGGGCCTCATCAAATCTAAATCCGGCCCTGTATACAGGGTAGGACTGCCCTGAGTTACAAGGACAGAGAGAATAGTGCCTTCATGTCTGTGCTTGTCGATTTCCCAGAGGCATCTGGTTAGGCCACCATAGAAAACGCAATGTTAGCCCTGACAGGTTTTTGCTCCCTGATCCAGTCCGATTCTGGATGGAGGCGAAGAGACAGATGTGGGGCAATGGAAGACTGGAAAGGAGAAAAATTTAACTGTACAGTGGTACCTCGGGTTACATACGCTTCAGGTTACAGACTTCGCTAACCCAGAAATAGTGCTTCAGGTTAAGAACTTTGCTTTAGGATAAGAACAGAAATCGGGCTCCAGCAGCACGGCAGCAGCAGGAGGCCCCATTAGCTAAAGTGGTGCTTCAGGTTAAGAACAGTTTCAGGTTAAGTACGGACCTCCGGAACGAATTAAGTACTTAACCCGAGGTCCCACTGTAACTGGCGAACACGTCTCCCTTACACTTCCCATACGTGCACCAAAAATGGCGAGTTTGCATACACCCTCCTCCTTGGGGTTTATTTCCAAACTGTTTTGACTGCAAGGTTCAGGCCTGGAATGTGTAAACATAGGAACTGCCTTGCTGTATTGGACTAGCTCAGCGTTTTCTATCCAACGGTCCCTAGTGGTCTGCCTCTTGACTTTTGTGAGCAGAGGCTCAGAGGTCTGGCATCTATCCCGCACATTACCTTTTGTGCCTGGTGTTTAGAGGTACCATGCGTGGAGCTTCCACTTAGCTCTCATGTTCCATTCATAGTAAACAAGCGAGTGCCTGAGCATGTGCAGAGTGCCACCCTCCATCAGCAGTGAAATATATATACAGTGGTGCCTCGCAAGACGAAAATAATCCGTTCCGCAAGTCTCTTCGTCTAGCGTTTTTTTCGTCTTGCGAAGCAACCCTATTAGCAGCTTAGCGGATTAGCGCTATTAGCGGCTTAGCGGCTATTAAGTAGCGGCTTAGCGGCTAAAAGGCTATTAGCGGCTTAGCGGCTTAGAAGAGGGGGGGGAGTGGAAAAAAATCGCAAGACTTGCAAGACGTTTTCGTCTTGCGAAGCAAGCCCATAGGGAAAATCATCTTGCGAAGCAGCTCAAAAACGGAAAACCCTTTCGTCTAGCGGGTTTTCCGTCTTGCGAGGCATTCGTCTTGCGGGGCACCACTGTAATACGTTTAATCTGGCCCCTGCAAGGCCCACATAGCTATCCTGGGCAAGCAGACACAGTATGTCTCATAAACACAGTAGAACAGCCTTGATGGATCAAGATAGATGACGGAAAGCGACATCGGCTTCTCTTTCGCAGAAGCTGCTTCACCCTTCCTGCACATATTTAGATAAGGGAGACTTTGGCACTATGATAAGAGCTATGGGAAAAGCACCCAGGAGGACAAAACAAAAATGAAAGCAAAACATGTTTTGGCAAAACAACATTGGAATGTGCAGACGTTCTTGGGGGAACCACAGTCACAGATGTCAAAGTTGTTCTCCTCCTCTTCCAGATAGATTACAGGGTAATTGCATGAAAAAGTCAACCAACAGACTCATTTTCCATACATAGTTAACAAGTTCTATATATTTTTTTAAAATCCAATATCCCAAAGTTTCATCATCTGGCTACAACTTTTCAAAATGGCATTTTACACTTGAGTAAAACAATCAGGACTGTGACATGGGAAATGACTTGGAATTGCTCTATCCTACCCTGCCCCCCCCTAAAATTCAGCTAAAAGCCCTCCCCAAGCAAACAGAGAATAGTTTAATGACCTTTAACTGTATTCATAGTTCAGCTTTCTCGTCTGGTGAGCTGAAAAAGGCAATATTCTGTTAGGAACAAAATCAGATGAGCTTAGAACAATGAAACTTACGTTAACTATGTGTAACTATTAGTAGTTATATGATTATTTTTTTTAGGTTACTCAACCTTGGTATGGTTTAGAAAAGGGCAGAATTTATATTTCTCTACTAGGCCTCCAAGGGACACGGGTGGCGCTGTGGGTTAAACCACAGAGCCTAGGGCTTGCCGATCAGAAGGTTGGTGGTTCGAATCCTCGCAACGGGGTGAGCTCCCCATTGCTCAGTCCCTGCTCCTGCCAACCTAGCAGTTTGAAAGCACATCAGGCAGAGATAAATAGTCCCCCGGCGGGAAGGTAAACGGCATTTCCGTGCGCTGCTCTGGTTCGCCAGAAGCGGCTTAGTCATGCGGCCACATGACCTGGAGCTCACCCCGTCGTGGGGATTCAAACCACCAGCCTTCTGCTTGGCAAGTCCTAGTCTCTGTGGTTTAACCCACAGCGCCAAGTCCCACCCTTACCTACACCCAAATGTAGGGTGGATGGCTATGGCTTGTCCAAAACAGCCTCACAGACCAAACAAGAAACCCTGGGGTGGGTCCCTGATCTAAAGATACAAAAATTCACCTCTGAAGGTTGCCAGGATTTTGCAAAATCCTGCGATATGTTACTTATCAGTTTGGATGGTTCTGTTTGAATTTGGACCGTTTCCTTGTGCGGTCTTTGGCAGTGGGCAGATGAAGGCCAGCTTAGCTTCGTAGGTAAATGAGGTTTCTGGGAAGTATCAGAGCTTCTGAGAATTTGTCTCATGTATTAACTGCCAGCTGCCTGGGGATTTACAGTTCCTTATCTTGAGGCTTGTACCAGAGGCTCAAGGACACCTGCCCATTGCTAATTAGGAACATCTTGCAGCTGGGCCTGTCAAGGCTTCTTGTCCGCTGATTAGTTAAAATAACAAAGTCCAAGTAAAGACTCTCAATTTTATCAGATCACCAGGTATTAGTTCCAGATTTACTAGGCTTGTGTCTTGAAAATGATGGTTTTGCTAGTCATGAAGAAATGCCAAATTGCCTTTGAATTTAATCGTGTGTAAGGTGCCTTAGAGGGACGTGGGTGACGCTGTGGGTTAAACCACAGAGCCTAGGACAGTTCGAAAGCACACCAAAGTACAAGTAGATAAATAGGTACCACTCCGGCGGGAAGGTAAACGGCGTTTCCGTGCGCTGCTCTGGTTCGCCAGAAGCGGCTTAGTCATGCTGACCACATGACCCGGAAGCTGTACACCAGCTCCCTCGGCCGATAAAGCGAGATGAGTGCCGCAACCCTAGAGTCGTCCGCGACTGAACGGTCAGGGGTCCCTTTACCTTTTAACCATCACGAATAATACTTGTTGTTGTTGTTGTTTAGTCATTTAGTCGTGTCCGACTCTTCGTGACCCCATGGACCAGAGCACGCCAGGCACCTCTGTCCTCCACTACCTCCCGCAGTTTGGTCAAACTCATGCTGGTAACCTCGAAAATACTATCCAACCAACAAATAATACTGCTTTCTCTCAAAGTTGACACCTTTCACGAAAACCGATAAGTTACCTGTTGTAGGGAATCATTTCTCCTCTTTTCTTAATCTAACTCACACTTTTAAGCCACTTACTTAAGCAAACTTAGACAAATTCTTTTCAAAGAATAACAAGGGTTGAGAGGAGGGCTGGATGTTACCTGGTTTTCAAAATCATGATAGATCACCAGCAATATACCAATATATCACCCTGTCTGAAATCAGGATGGCGCTATGTAGAGGCACTAGCTGGCTTCACAGTTTTTCCCAAATGGTGATTTTTGCATAGAGCACACACACATACTTTAAGGCTGGGCAATGTATCAATACATTTGGGGGTAGTGAATTAAGTTTGAAGTCTACATCGTGGAAACAGTGTCATGTTAATCATGGTGATACATTACAATGTGTGTGAGTGCTGTGTAAAAAAACCGTGATTTGGGAAAAACCGTGAAGCCAGTCATCGCTTCTCTCATGGTTCCTTCTGTCCCTGTTGCTCTGTGCTATAAAATAACAGTTGTAACAACGTGTTAAAGCTAAGTAAAAATGTATCGGTTTTGGACCCTGAAATATACTCGGAGTCGAGAGTGGATTTCATGCTCTTTATTCAGCTCATAGTGGTGAGGAGGAATGGAAGTTCCCCCAGAATGTCTGCTTTATATACATTATTTACACAATGGGACCCACATGATTGGCTAATTCCGGGATTCACCTGTAGGCCAATCAGGTTGTGGATTCACTTCCACCTGGAGCTGGATTGGGTGGCTCCTGTGGACCAATCAGACTGCTGCATTCTGGACCCTATTGTTCTCGGACCAATCAAACTGCTGCCTTTTGGATCCTATTCAAATCAGTACATAACAGACCCCTAAGTAGCAGCAGTTTCCAGGACATTACCCCCTTCACCTCTATATAGATAACCCCTAGATATGCCTCTGCACGTAAGATGTGATCATGCTGTAGGTACAGTCGTACCTCAGAAGTCGAACAGAATCCATTCCACAAGTCCGTTCAACTTCCAAAACATTCAGAAATCAAGGCGTGGCTTCTGATTGGCTGCAGGAAGCTCCTGCAGCCAATCGGAAACCGCATTTGCCGCATTGGACATTTGGGTTCCAAAGAACGTTCGCAAACTGGAACACTCACTTCCAGGTTTGGAAGTCAAAACGGTCAACTTGCAAGGCGTTCGGGATCCAAGGTACAACTGTAATTTTATTAGATTGCCACATATTAAACAACTGAATCAAGCAAGAGGGGGAAAACACAAGGACACATTTGCCGGAGAACAGTGAAACTTTATTGCATTTACAAACACACTTGGAAATCAAAGGCAAGCCCCAAAAGTTTGCACCAATTTATGGATTGTACTCTTTTTATTTACTGTTTGCTATAAAAAAAATCTGCTACTACTTTAAGTGAATGGATAGGACCACATTAGGGTGTCTCAAGAATATGGTGGATAAAAAGCTAATGATTTGTGTTGCTGTGCTGTAAAGGATATAAGTTCTGAAAGTCTGGAAATTGAATGATTGGGGGGGGGGCATTTTAACACATTTTTATACGAACAAGTTTATGCCTAAACATTAATTGTGCCCTTTCATTCTCTGCTTTTCAAAATCAATCTAGGGTTTCCCACTTTACTCATTTTTTGATATGGCCTTTATAAAGAAATCCTGGAACACCTCCCCAATTTCTTTGTTATACTGTAAATTTGTAAATAGATACTGCAATCGATTTTAGCATATGCTTCAGAGCTCATTGAAACAAGTATCATGTCATATGTATTATACATATATTTTCACTTTTTAGAACTTTGTGTCAAGCTAAAAACCCTATGCACCAAAACTGTGGTCAGTTTAGCAGTGATGCCAGAGACAAGTGACTATCCTTGAACGATATCAAATAACATTCAATTTGGATTACATTCAAGCTGCTGGAGGTGCAGATGTCTGCTTCAGAAGTTGCCATTTGGGATCCTCTGGGAAGTTCTAATAATCAGAACAGGATGGTTGAGGAAGTAAACCACATAGTACCTGAAAAAGAAAGGTCAATAGTATTTAGTACAGTGGTACCTCAGGTTACAGACGCTTCAGGTTACAGACTCCGCTAACCCAGAAATAGTACCTCGGGTTAAGAACTTTGCCTCGGGATGAGAACAGAAATCATGCTCCGGCGGCACGGCAGTAGCAGGAGGCCCCATTAGCTGAAGTGGTGCTTCAGGTTAAGAACAGTTTCAGGTTAAGAATGAACCTCCAGAACAAATTAAGTACCGTACTTAACCCGAGGTACCACTGTATTTAGCAACACTATCTAAATCAGCAATAGGGGCAAACCAAGGTTTCTAAGGTTGAGCATGGAATACTTACAGACCCAGTTCAGATGTCAAGTGAAACCATGGTTTAGCATGCTGGGAATGAGCCAACACAAGCCTTGGGCTCACACATTCCCCACCTCCTCCCTCTACACAAGCGGTGAAGGGTTTGGAATCTACATCCTGGTTAGGCTTAACCACAGCTCGTTGCCTCACCCAAATCTGATGAACTATGCTTACTGTTAACCATGGTTGCTCGGTTTGATAAGCCATCTTTAAACCATGGCTCATCCAGCTAGCTTGTTTAAACTCTTAATCTCAGGGTCGTGGGTTTGAGCCTCACACGGGGCAAAAATAATAATCCTGCATTGCTGGGGGTTAGGCAAAATGACACTTGTGGTCAGTTCCAACTCTATAATAACTCTATAACTTTATAATGTTAACCACAGCCTGGGGTGGTGTGCTAAACCAGCCTTTGCCAATCTGATTTCCTCCAGATGTTGCTGAATTCTTATGTCCCATGATAGTCAGGGATGATGGGAGAATAATAATAATAATAATAATAATAATAATAATAATAATAATAATAATAATAATTTATTACTTATACCCTGCACATCCAGCCAGCTCTCCTCAGCCACTCTGGGCGGCTTTCAACAGGAGATTAAAAATACATTAAAACATCAGTCATTAAAAAACTTCTCTAAACAGGGCTGCCTTCAGATGTCTTCTAAATGTCAGATAGTTGTTTATTTCCTTGACAGGACATTCCACAGGGCAGGCGCCACTACCGAGAAGGCCCTCTGCCTGGTTCCTTGTAACTGTTTCTCGCAGTGAGGGAACCGCCAGAAGGCCCTCGGTGCGGGACCTCAGTGTCCGGGCAGGACGATGGAGGTGGAGATGCTCCTTCAGGTATACTGGACCGGGGCCGTTTAGGGCTTTAAAGGTCAGCACCAACACTTTGAATTGTGCTTGGAAATATACTGGGAGCCAACGTAGGTCTTTCAAGACCAGAGTTATGTGGTCTTGGCAGCCGCTCCCAGTCACCAGTCTAGCTGCCGCATTCTGGATAAGTTGTAGTCCAGGACCTCTGAATGGGCCTCCGGTTCACTGCAGTAAAAGCTTGTGCTATGTGTCATTTTCCCTTTGAAATACATGAGGCTGATTGTGAATGTAACTGTGATAATCAAAGGGAACAAGACAGATGCTTCTAATTGACTTTACCCATTTTCAGTGGCTGGTAGTCTTATGACAGCAACGGTCAGTCCTTCTGCATTTAAGTCAGGATCCTGCTGGTCTTCAAATTCCTCCAGTGTCACCGTCGGTTTCAGAAGCTGCCACTTGGGGTCTTCAGGGAAGTGCTTCTCAATAAACAGAGCGGGGTGGGTGAGGAAATAAAACTCATCGTAACTGCAAAAGGAGAAGGTGCAATAGTGCAGTATTTCAGAATAATCCCTAAATCAGCACCAGGGCCAGACTGGCAAACAGAGTGGTTGTCCAGAACAGCTGGTGGGCACCTGGTTGAGGAAGCTGCTAACACTCCAGAACTGTTCAAAGAGGATAGATAGATGGTATCTATCCCTGCCATCAGAACACTCTATGCCCATGGCATAATAATAATAATAATAATAATAATAATAATAATAATAATAATAATAATTTACTTATACCCCGCTGGCCCGGCCTCCACAGTCACTCTGGGCAGCTTCCAACAGAACATTAAAAACAGAATAAAACTTCAAACATTAAAAACTTCCCTAAACAGGGCTGCCTTCAGAGGTCTTCTAAAAGTCAAATAGTTGTTGTATTTCCTTGACATCTGATGGGAGGGCGTTCCACAGGGCGGGCGCCACTACTGAGAAGCCCCTCTGCGTGGTTCCCTGTAACCTTACTTCTCACAGTGAGGGAACTGCCAGAAGGCCCTCAGAGCTGGACCTCAGGCTGAAGGATGGGGGTGGAGACACTCCTTCAGGTATACTGGACCAAGGCCATTTAGGGCTTTAGAGGTCAGCACCAACACTTTGAATTGTGCTTGGAAATGTACTGGGAGCCAGTGTCGGTCTTTCAGGACCGGTGTTATATGGTCTTGGCAGCCGCTCCCAGTCACCAGTCTAGCTGCCTCATTCTTAATGCACTTGCTTACATTAATCAGACCATCAAATCGCAAACTCTGACAAGTGGTCGAAGCAAAACAAAACCACCTGAAAGCAAATGAAGTTAACTGTGAGGGCCAGTGTGGTGTAGTGGTTAGGAGCAATGGACTCGTAATCTGGGGAACCGGGTTCACGTCTCCGCTCCGCCACATGCAGCTGCTGGGTGAGCTTGGGCCAGTCACACTTCTCTGAAGTCTCTCAGCCCCACTCACCTCACAGAGTGTTTGTTGTGGGGGTGGAAGGGAAAGGAGAATGTTAGCTGCTTTGAGACTCCTTAAAGTAAAGGTAAAGGGACCCCTGACCATTAGGTCCAGTCGTGACCGACTCTGGGGTTGCGGCGCTCATCTCACTTTATTGGCCGAGGGAGCCGGTGTACAGCTTCCAGGTCACGTGGCCAGCATGACTAAGCCGCTTCTGGCAAACCAAAGCAGCGCACGGAAATGCCGTTTACCTTCCCGTCGGAGCGGTACCTATTTATCTACTTGCACTTTGACGTGCTTTCGAACTGCTAGGTTGGCAGGAGCTGGGACCGAACAACGGGAGCTCACCCCGTCGCAGGGATTCGAACCGCCGACCTTCTGATCGGCAAGCCCTAGGCTCTGTGGTTTAACCCACAGCGCCACCCGTGTCCCTCCAAGGAGAGACTCCTTCGGGTAGTGATAAAGCAGGATATAAAATCCAAACTCCTCTTCTTCTGCTATACCCTCAGTGTGTCCCACGCTCTGCCTGGTCTTTCTACTGCCTAACAACGTACCTGAAAGTGAACTCGCTAAAAGCAGCATCCACAGTGCCACTTCCCCAGGTGCAGTCTAAGAGATGCCACCTTCCATCAATGCAGACAGCATTCCAGGCATGGTTGCTCTTCCCCGTTACGCTGCAGCTGCCTCTCACATACTCGCACTGTATCCCTGCAACACTGAGAGGGGAAGGAAGGTATTCAGGAACACCGTTCGTATCAAGAGGACAAGCGGTTGCTTTCACTGCCTTGATAGGCTGGAGCGGCCGTCCTTCATTTTGCTGGGTCAGAGAAAACAGCAATCAGGTTCTCCACAGATTTGCTCCAATTTGGCAGGAAAACACAAGTTTTCCTGGGATGAAACAACAACAACAAGATTTGGACACGGACCTGGAAAGCTAGGACCTGTGCCTATAAAGCACAGAGCAAAGGTAAGTGTGGATGAGGAACTAAGTCACACAGGGAAGAGACCCATTAAATTCAAGTACCGTATTTTTTGCTCTATAAGACTCTGCAGCGGTACCTATTTATCTACTTGCACTTTTTGGCATGCTTTTGAACTGCTAGGTTGGCAGGAGCTGGGACAGATCAACGGGAGTTCACCCCATTGTGGGGATTTGAACCGCCGACCTTCCAATCAGCAAGCCCAAGAGGCTCAGTGGTTTAGACCACAGCGCCACCCGCGTCCCTGTGTAAGTAGGGAGCACACACTAAAAAACACTCATTTTTTCCTGCTCTCCAGCTCTCTCTCCACACAATACTCTTTTCAACTAGAGTTGAAGCTCTGGAGCTGGCTGGAGGACCTGTGGAAAAGCAGCTGCCATGCTGTGACATGTGTCAGCTACTAGGCGGGGAGGCTGAGCAGCCTAAACAAAGCCCCACTGTGCCTCCGTTCTCTTTGGGGCTTCCTCCGCTCCCACTGAAGTCCTCTTTGGGTTCTGGGGAGGGTCTCCTTGTGAGCCATGAGGACTCTGCAGCTCTCTCCCGCCATTTCCTGCTTAGAATCTATTGATTTACTTATTTCCGGGGGCTGTCACATGCGAGTTGATCAGGCCTAAGTGTTGAGATAGCTGCCTAGGGCAAGGGGTGGAGAATCTGTGGCTCTCTAGATCTCCTATCGCTACAGCCAAGTAACAACCACTTGCCATGATGGCTGGAGCCAATACAGTGGTACCTCGGGTTAAGTACTTAATTCGTTCCGGAGGTCCGTTCTTAACCTGAAACTGTTCTTAACCTGAAGCACCACTTTAGCTAATGGGGCCTCCTGCTGCCGCCGTGCTTCCAGAGCCCAATTTCTGTTCTTATCCTGAAGCTAAGTTCTTAACCTGAAGCACTATTTATGGGCTAGCAGAGTGTGTAACCTGAAGCGTATGTAACCCGAGGTACCACTGTAGATGTTACCTGCACATTGCTTGAAAGAGTCGAGCATATCCACCGCAAATAGCCTTTCCTGAGAGAAGGATATCAGCTGGCTTAAAACACAGCTTGTCCAGGTTATAGCAGCCTTCCACATCATATTCTGTAGAAATAAAGACAATGAGCACCCATTCCGATTTGCTTGTGGGGTGGCAACACTTTCCAGCATGTTTCTCAATCTCTTTCCTTGTTCACAAAATCCGGTGGGGGGGGTGGCTTGTCTTGCAAGAGCTCCAAATGAACTTTTAATTGCACAACATGAATTTGCCCGTATGTGATTGAATCGCACCTCAAAAGAGAAAGTCTGGAAGCACCCGTAAATCTGCCAGAGAGGTGCATTGTGTAGATTCAGGGTCTTGTTGCCAAATAAAAATGCACACGGGTGCAAGAGTTAGGAGTCTGGAGACAGGGGCCTGAACCAGCACCTCCTCTCCCCCTACCCCGTGCTCTGACCTTTATTTTATTTTGACAAAGTAATAATCATACATAAATAGGAATAAAAATGTGCACCCCACCCCCAAGACCATTCCATTGTAACTATCCAACCTCCCAAAATTTCAACACCTCTAGCAATGGTTTGACCCCTTTCCGTTTTAACAGTACAAATTCTACAAACACTTTCCATAGCTCCTCAAAATCATTTCTCCTGCATATTCCCCATCTTACCTTAATGGCACATGTTAATTTATCATTAATAGCTTTATCCCACACCTCTTCATACCATTTTTCCATTTTATATTCTGCTTGCCCCTTCCACTTCCTAGCTAACAATTTGTGCAGCTTTCAAATAAATTTGTGAGCGAGTCCTTCATAGCCAGCGAACCTTCCACCCCATCGTAAATAGATAATAATGCTACCTCTGGACTTTCAGTGAGCTTTAACCCAGTGATTTCTGTTAACAGTGAGCACCTCCTGACCCCTTCTGAGTTTCGTGGCTGAACAGAGATCCCAAACAAGCTCTGCGAGAGCCAAACACCAAATCACTGATCCACACAGGTTACAATCCAGAATCCTTTGTGCAAATGGAACTGACATGACTGGCTATGAAATGGTGAAAATGCCCGAGTCAGCTGCAAATAAGCCATGCTCAGAGTAGACCCACTGAATTTAATGTCCATGAGTTACTTACATCCATTGATTTCAGCCGGTTTACTCTGAATATAACTTGGTTTGATATGACCTTATGTCTCCATCTTCCTTGGCTGGCAATCACTGGACTGGGTGTCTGCTAAAGAACTCTGCTACAGAGCTGGATTCATGGGCACAGGGCAGTGACAAAGGCTGGTCTTTTAATACCGGAAGTTGTCAGAGGCAAGGGGACTCAAGTATGCAGGAAGTTGGCAGTCCCACCTACCTATATGATAGCAGATCCAAATCCAAATGGCTCGCACTTTCTCCAGGTCACTGTGGGCTTTTTTGAGCAAGACTTTCACCTGGCTTTTCACGCTATTCCTGAAATCCACCTGTTTCACAGAAGGTAAATGGAAGCAGTTAATATGGAGGAGGGGGTACCACTTCCTTTCTTCTACCTAAGTCTACTTGTTTAAAGGGACGTGGGTAGCACTGTGGATTAAACCACAGAGCCTAGGACTTGCCGATCAGAAGGTCAGTGGTTCGAATTCCCATGACGGGGTGAGCTCCCGTTGCTTGGTCCCTGCTCCTGCCCACCTAGCAGTTCGAAAGCACATCAAAGTGCAAGTAGATAAATAGGTACCGCTCTGGCGGGAAGGTAAACGACGTTACCGTGTGCTGCTCTAGTTCGCCAGAAGCAGTTTAGTCATGTTCGCCACATGACCCGGAAGCTGTATGGTGGCTCCCTCGGCCAATAAAGCGAGATGAGCGCCACAACCCCAGAGTCGGTCACGACTGGTCAGGGGTCCTTTACCCTTTACTTGTTTAAAGAAATTTTAGGGTGCAACCCTGCGTGCACTTACAAGAGTGTCTCTTGCTGAATTCACTGGGGTTGTGTAAAACCACTCAGGGTTGCACAGTTAGTCGATTAAGTGTATGTGTTTTACTTGATTGATCAATCAAAGAATTTATTATACTTGGCAAAAATGTACCCGGGGGGGGGGCGGGGAGTTGTTCTGAAGGGAGAAGCATGATTAACCTTTGCTTTTTCCGGGGTTCACAGGCATGTTATTTCTACAATCTTCAGCTAAAACCCAAATACTCTTTGCCACTGTCTCCCCACAAGTGCAGAGTTTCCCCATTGCCACTGGCAGAGGAATGGGGGGGGACGCACTGCCCCTAGCACCATCAGGGATGGGGTTATCATTGTGGCTGTCCCCGACATACGCCACCACCCCCCCACACCGTGCCAGGCACCATGCCCCCAGGATACATGCCACGCCCCTGCAGGTGATGTGCCACGCTCTCAGGGCACACAGCATGCCCCCGGGGGGGGGCGCCAGCCATGCCCCCGCCTGCTCTCCATCCCTGGTGCCAGAGCTTGCAGCTTCGCCACTGCCCATTGCACCTTTGGGTAGGTGGAAGTACAACCGGCGGGGGGGGGGGCTAGCTGTCAACGGTTCCCTTTTTTTAAGGGAAATCCCCTTATTCCGAATAGGATTCCTTGCAAGAAAAGGGGAAAGTTGACAGCTAGGGGGGGCATTCTGGGGGCAGGGAGGGACCAAGGCAACCCTGGATCCTGAGCCGGCCCTACTGTTGTCCCTTGACAGCACTGGGGGAAATCCAGGGTTGATTACTGCACCAGTATATTAATTTTATGCCAGTTTAATTCTTGCGAGGCCCCCCAGAGATTCCTGGGAGTTGTGGTTTGGCAAGGGCACTGAAAATTTTCTGTTAATGACTGTTCACAGAAATATAGTACTCGGAATTCCCCGAGGAGAGGAAATAGCTACCAAATCAATTTCAGTCGGTAGTATAAATACGATCGAAAGTGATTTGTGAGCGAGGAGTTGTTCAAACCCTTTCATATTGCCTATGATTACTAGCTCTCTTCCAAATTTACTTTGGAGCTATCTCCTGAATTTTTAAATCAAAGCAGCAAGCAAAGCAATGTTGCAAAATAACTAAATATGGATGTATATACATGCATTTAATTCACACACAGAGAGAGAGAAAGAGAATCCTGTGGTTTGTTAAGGGTTCTAGGATTTGTAGCTCTGTGAGCGGAAAACTACAGCTCCCATAGTTCTTTGGGGGAGTTGGTGTTCTTTAAATGCATGGTGTGTGCAGCCCATGTGAATAGGTGCTCCACTGAATAGGTGCTCCTGTTTCTGAAAAACAGGCTCAGGGTCTTGTGACTCATGATGTTCCCAGTTCGGACCTTCCATCTGAACAGAAGTAACTGCCTCCTATCAGGAGAGGACACTCTCAAATTCCAAATGCACATTAAAACCTCAGCACCCTAGCAAATTCCTCGCTGCCTATATCACAATAAGAGACAGCATACCTTCTGTGCATAGGCATCCAGTTCCTTAAACTTTGCCAAGTCTATTTGTATTGATTTCTCATTGGATTTATCCCATGGATAATCTAGGAACAAAAATGGAAAAGTCATTCTAGAAACAGTGGGGAAAGGGAGGGGGAGCAAAGGATGTGATTTAAAGGGTTGGAATACAGGGAACCAACAGGGAATAGAGATAGGGAGGCTTTTCTGCTTCTCCCCAAGTGAAATACAGCAGCAGGAAGTAGAGGCACTTCAGCTGTGACCAACGTTGCTCTACTTAAAAGGCAGGATTTTGATCTGATCTTGCAAGACCATTTTGAGCAGAGTACACAAGGCGTATGGCATGGTTTGCACTTCCCACTGGAACAGCTGGAACCTCCTTAGAGAAGCCCTCTTCGCACCAAACATCTGGCTTTGGTCGGAATGCCTGGCATCCCTTAACCCCGGCTGCAAATTTCACTGCATCCATCTGCAATATGCATGCAACAGAACGTCAACTGCAAGCTCATTTCAGGAACTATAATAGTAGCATAACAATAACACAAACAGGGCTGCTTGAGGTGAGGGAGAAAATGAACCCAGCCACCCACATGCCACATACTGAAGCCCCGATCCACTTACAGAAACCCAAACACAGGTGATGGGACAGATTTTCTCCAGCACACCTGAGTAGAACAGGCTTACATTGAGGGTGAAGGGCAGACTGCATAGCATGCAATGATCTGATCTCTGACACCTCACTGCTGCCTGCCCCCCCCCCCGAGCAACTGAGCCACCTCACTTGGCCTAACAGTAGCTCCAGCCTAAGAGGAAAAGGATATAGTGCAGCTATTTCCCCAGCCAGAACTCACTGGAACTGAGTTCCGCCACCTCTCAGGGTAGGTGCCGCTATAAAGGAACAAGGGAAGCGTTCGTGGTGAGTTCTGGCACCTCTTTGTCTAGAAAAATAACACTGAGCACAGTTAATTTTTACCATTCATGCCTTGTTCCCAGGATATCTCAAGAGGTGGGTGCAGAGGTGTAGCTGGGGGGGGGCACTGGGCACCACACCGCAGGCGGCAGCACTTCCCATGGGGCCTGCAGTGTGCCTGAGCCACGCATCTCTCCTGGGAGTGACGTGGTAGCTTGGGCCCCCGAACGGCTAGCTACGCCACTGGGTGGTTGAGTGACAAGCTCATAAAATGATTTCCTAAGATACGCAGCCCAGTAGTGATGTATGGAAGTGAGAGGTGGACCATAAAGAAGGCTGATCGCCGAAGAATTTATGCTTTTGAATTCTGGTGCTGGAGGAGACTCTTGAGAAGATCAAAGCTCTCCATTCTGAAGGAAATCAGCCCTGAGTGCTCACTGGAAGGACAGATCCTGAAGCTGAGGCTCCAAGATTTTGGCCACCTCATGAGAAGAGAAGACTCCCTGGAAAAGACCCTGATGTTGGGAAAGATGGAGGGCACAAGGAGAAGGGGACGACAGAGGACGAGATGGTTGGACAGTGTTCTCGAAGCTACTAACATGAGTTTGACCAAACTGCGGGAGGCAGTGGAAGACAGGAGTGCCTGCGTGCTCTGGTCCAGGGGGTCACAAAGAGTCGGACACGACTAAACTACTAAACAACAACAAGAAGAAGATACGCAGCACTGCTAAGTACTAAGAGAAGTACTATTAATATATACAGCAGGTGTAGGGGACCTTTGGCCCGCCAGATGCTGGGGAACTACAACTCCCATAATCCCTAGCCACGCTTGCTGGGATTAACAGTGCTGTCATCCAACAACATCTGGAGGGCCAAAGATTCCCTGCAGCTGACACAGAGGATCCAGATCAATAGCCGTACATAAGCATAAGAAAGAACTTCTCTTTACCATACAGATCTTCTTCCCGAGGCAGCATTGATGCTTGTACTCCTCCCATCTTGAAAGCCTACAAAATGTTTGTGTTGGGATGAGACGAGATGTGCATTAACACATATATTGCAACTCCCATAGTCCCTGATCATCTTCCATGCTGGCTGGGACTGGTGGGAAACAGTTCTGCAGAGCCCCAGAGAACCCATCCCCAATCTGTTGCCCTTATAGCTTTCATAAAGGTACCCCTGCCCGTACGGGCCAGTCTTTACAGACTCTAGGGTTGTGCGCCCATCTCACTCAAGAGGCCGGGAGCCAGCGCTGTCCGCAGACACTTCCGGGTCACGTGGCCAGCGTGACAAGCTGCATCTGGCGAGCCAGCGCAGCACACGGAACACTGTTTACCTTCCCGCTGGTAAGCAGTCCCTATTTATCTACTTGCACCCGAGGGTGCTTTCGAACTGCTAGGTTGGCAGGCGCTGGGACCGAACAACGGGAGCGCACCCCGCCGCGGGGATTCGAACCGCCGACCTTTCGATCGGCAAGCCCTAGGCGCTGAGGCTTTTA